AAAGAGGATTCAACTCTTGAAGCTATAATTTGGGTACGATATGACTTTTCACAATATCTGGTCGGCCATATGATTAAGCCATCTTATCGTCTTTCTCCCAAGGATAAATATGTGACTATCCCAACTCCTATGTGACTATTCTCTCCTATTTGACTATTCTAATGAATTCGATCTATTTTGTTTAGAATCACTGCCCCTGTACCAAGCAGTCAAACCAGCAGTCGGAGTTTTATTCATGCTAATCTTACTCCAGTGGATCAGAACTACTGCATTGTAGCGGAAACAGCTGAAGAAAAACTTGAGCATGCTTTGAATGAAATTGAGAATTTGAAAACTCAAGTGTCAAAACTGTCAATATTTAAATTCGGTATCGAACGTTTCAAGGCTTCAAGTTCCATGATCAAATATTATGTTTACAATGGAAGAAGCGATTTTTTAGATCACCCTTATAAGAAGCGAGCACTTCCATTGGCTGATGAATTGTTTTTATTTTTGTGTCGTTTGAGACAGGGCTTTGATGAGATCCACCTTAGTGATGTTTTTGGCATATCACAATCCACTGTCTCTCGGATAGTTATCACATAGGCTAATTTCAGTGGCGGCGCGTGGTCATTTTGACAACCGGGGCAAGCTACTGCGGGACCAAGTCACCCCCATCTACGGGGACAGGATGAGCGCTGTAAGTTCTCCCATCATTTTATGAGTATAAAAACCATTCCATCGGTAACAACCAATCGGCAAAAGCGACAATTTTTAACGATAAGAAAGTGTCTTTAAAACCGGTCCAAGTCAAGGGATTAATAAATATAGACATAGTTTATTTTGAAACCTCTTTCAAAAGGAAAGGCAATATTTACCCAGATAAATGCAATGACATATTAACAGAAACTTCGGGAAAGCAGACAAAACCTAAAATAAGGTTTAAAACGTTACTATGAAGAAAGGAAAGGTAATGCAAAGATAAGGACATGCGTCGCTCACTCATAGATATATATGCTGCTAGACTTCTACTGCTTGAACATATATGCAACACGCCGCGGTTTCTTGGAGGCAAAATGCTCAATAACGCGATGATTAAAGTCATGCATCCCAGAAATACCATCTCTGTAAATGGATAAAACAGCCAAGGAATTTAATCTATCTTGCTTCATTGTGTTTCTGAGATACGTTTTAATACGCTTCAACGTGCTGAATGTTCGTTCTGCGTCGGCGGAAGAAATAGGCGTCGTCAAAATGATGTTCAGAAATTTTGCAGACGCCGCAAAGGTTGTTACTAGAGTGTTATCTATGAGGAACCCATAGGGCGCGCAAGTTGATGTGATGTTCAAAAAAGTTTGATTGGTGTATGTATATCGCAATTCATTTTCCAATTTACCCACGTTTATCATGGGGTAAAATTTGGAGACAGTAGCCAACAAATGGATGGGAAATTGACGTGCGAAATTTGAAAAATTTTTGGGGTTCATCAAAGAGAACGCGGCAAGGTGTTCAGTGCGCAGACGATCGCCTATTTGATTCACCAGAATGTCACAGCATTCCTTTGCAGACAAAATCAAACGCTGCGTTGTTTGCCCGCGGCGTAAAGAAGCACTCCATGTGTCGTCGTATTTTATTGTTTCCCGGATACGAGATACAGCATCGCAGAAGTCTGAAATACACGACTGCACAGACGCTCCATCCATTAGCCTTGACTGCAATGCGCCGTATAATACATCCACGTGATAGAATGTTGTGGAGAAAAAATGAAAACTCACCATCTTCTAGCAGACGCTTTAGACCTGCCGCTTCCCTCACAGAGCGTTCGTCCCAAACCGGAGAGCTCTGAATGCGATTGAAACACTCAATGAGCTCAGACCTAATTTCGGACACGCCCTGCACCACGCGTGATTGGAAGTTCCAACGTGTTGGTGCACAAGCTGGGAGACGGCGGCTACATATCTGGCGAAGGAGGTCAGAGCGCTTCGGCGAAACGGAAAAAAATGAAGAAAACCCGAAACATTTGCAAAAAATATACGGACGAGAGGGGTATCAAGACACATATTTTTAATAACGAGGTTAAATTGGTGTGCATAACAATGTAAAAATGCGCATGAGGAAAATCTTCTTTTATATAAACTTGAACACCATGTTTCGACCCACTCATGACTGCCGCGCCGTCATAAGTTTGAGCTATCAATTTTGACTTCGCGTTGTAAGGCTGTAACACTTCTTTCAGTACAGCCGATATCCCACAAGCCGTGCGATCAACGATTGGTACAAAGCTGTGAAATCTCTCGGTAGGTTTACCATCTTTCACAAACCGAAAAATCACAGCCAGTTGGGAAACGCACGTGATGTCAGTTGTCTCGTCAGACTGAATCGAAAGGAACTGGCAATTCTCAATTTCCAGAGCCAAATGTTGTAAATAAATTTTATACATTGAGTCGAGCAAATCACTTTGGATATCCTTAGATGTCCCTTTCGAAACAGTTGCGGCATCAAGATGATCTCTCAATACTGTATCTAGGGATGCGGTGTATTACACCATATCCAAAAATACCCCTCTATTAGAAGAGCCAGCCCGTTCATCGTGCCCACGGAGGGACAGCTCGTGACAACCAATGAACTTCAAAACATCTATCAATCGACCGAAAACATGGCGGTTTTTCTCGACGTTTTGGTTGTGCCGACGAATAGAAACCGCGCGTCCTTCATACAACTGTGCTGCAATATTAACATTTCCGAATATTCGGTATTTTACTGCATTGTCCAGATGCTCCATAGAAGATTGATGATCCCTGACACGCTCGGAAAGATGTTTAAGATCTCTAAAACCAAATTTACACCAACGTGAGTCACGGGCGGTAGCAAAAAGTAGGCAATAAAAACAAAAAAGTGCATTTTTGTCCTCGCTGTAACACAACCATTCGTGTTTTTTATACCAAGTTTTTGCGCAGAATGTACGCCGACGCTTTCCTCCGTCATGGGATTGTTCCAGTGAACAATTTTTCGGTTGATAAGGCCCAAGACGTTGTATCTCTAATTTTTGTTCCAGCGGCAGCTGCTAACACGGAGTGCGAAGTAGTGCATCAACCTTATTCATTATGAGGTCTAAGGCTAAGAAATGCGAAGCCGGAAAGAAGTGAGGAGCTCAAAAGGAATGTGGAAAATCGAAAGCAAATGGACTAAAGGTCTCTAACTGATTCAAATAGCGAAACAAGCGACAAAAACGAAGGCGAGGAAACTATCAACTCTTCAAGCAACCAACGAACGAGAAGGAATGCGTGAATATGTCAACACGTTAATGTAAGAAACGTCGGCATTGTGTCGTCATAATTTCGGGGCTAGTCCCGATGATTTAGTAAAAGAAACAGAAAACAAACGAGACAAACGCGGCGAGTGGAAGATAAAAGAGAGAATACGATATACAATGAGCAACCGGGGCAAAATCGGCGTCGCCCCGTCGACGTTCGGTGAAGGCTTTGCGAGCGAAAATGAACCATGTCGGGAGAATATAGCTAGTGTAGACAGTCTGTGCAACCGATATTGAGGTATTTTTCGAATATTTTTTATTATACCGAAAAAACAACCGGGGCATTGCCCCGGTTGGCCCTATTGACGCGCCGCCACTGGCTAATTATTTTTATTTTACCTTGGCGTCTATCCCAATTTGGCCTACACGTAAGCAGGTTTATGAAAATATGCCACAGTGTTTCAAAAACCAAGGTTATGGATCAACACGCATAATCCTTGACTGTTGTGAAATTTTTTGCCAGTCACCATCTTCACTCATGCTCCAAAGTGAGTTTTGAGTTTGCTTGAAAGAGGGGATTCCGTAATGTGCGACAAAGGATTTGCCATCAGGAGTCTCTTGGAAGTGAAAGGAGTGGGTCTAAAACTCTAAATATTCCTCCATTCAACTTTAACGGGCGGTTCACATATGATGAGGCATTGCGGTCCAGCAAGATTGCTTCACTTTGAGTCCACGTAGAACGAGCAATCAGAAGGGTGAAAGAATATCAGTTATTCGAAGGCAGAATATCACTGAGTATGCTAGGAATAGTTAATCAACTATGGACTGTTGCTTGCTTATTAATCAACTTTAGCGGTCCTTTGTTTTAGAAATAGTTATTTTATTTTTCAGTTTTAGTTTGTTTATTGTTGAATAATTATTTTGAGTTCGAGCAGTTTAGTTTATCAAATACATTCAGGACATATTTTATGTCCCTTCAAAGATCTTTGCTTTGTTAGAATATACAGCAGATGGTGCGGGTGTTACAACATTATATTAGGTTAACAGTAAAAGAAAAGGGAGAAATCAGAATAGCCTTTTGTGCTGCCTGTCTCACCTGTTTTCAACAAATTGCACTATGGCAAATACACAAAATACTGATTTATTGAAAAATAGTTGGAAGCCCAAAGCAACTGGTTACTACATTCTAAATCTAAAGCAATAAAATACATAAATGCCTAGGCAAGTTTTTTCTCTTGATATATAATTATCCTTCAGACATTTCACAAAATGAAAAATTTTTGTCCTCAAGATGACATGTTTGTTGCAACCGTATTTATGAAATTATCATAAAAAAAGGATTCCAGACGCATTTGTAGGTCCAGAAAATATGCATCATCAAAATATATGCGATTAATAAAACATGCACCCGAACTTAAAAGAATAATGGTGTTGTAATGGTTTGTAAAACCCGCAAAGAAATGTAAATCACGTAGCTTTGCTCAACTCTGGGTATGTTTCATTTTTTTCAACTAAGAAACTTTTTACATCTTTCAATAACACGACAAATCTCTGCAACACATTACCACAACTTAACCATCTTACATTATTGTACATTAGTAATCCAGAATATTCACTGTCGCATGATTTTAGTAACTCTGCAAACATACGTTTGTTGAGAGCACGAGCTGCAATAGAGTTGACTATTTTTGTAACAACAGTTAAAGCGTTTTGAAGGGATTGAAGAGCTTTTGCACAAAGGGCCTCCTGGTGTATAAGACAGTGAAATTCAACGAAGTCGCGCTTCAACTCTTGTTTTAGTAGTTGAACAAATCCAACGTTTTTCTATCGTGCTTGGCGCTCCATCAGTCGTTACCGACACAATATTTTCCATATCTATTCCTAACACAGAAAATTCAGTCGTTACATCTTGGCCTTTTGTTGTTTCAGACAAGGTCATTAATTTATTGAGCTCTTCCTTCATTACATTTCCTGATGAAAATTTTGCAAAAACTGCTAAACGAGAAAATGATGTCACGTCGGTGCTTTCATCTAAACAAATTGAGAACATTTTTGCTTGCTTCAAATCAAGCAAAAGCTGTTCTGTTACATCTTCATTCATTGCAATGATTTTTTCTTTTACTGTATTTCTTGCAATAGGTAGCTCGTCAATTCTTTTGAGAATATCAGACTTGTTAGGGAAATCTTCGAATAGCGCTTCTGAGCAGTTTCGAAAACCATCGGAAAGTGGTTTTCCATGTACAGCAATAACACGAGAAACATGGTAGCTAGCAGCGGATATGTTGTTTTATGCTTGAGGATGTTCTTGAAGCTATTTGTTTGCTGTTTATATCGTTTCACTTCTCTCTGAATGCGTTCTAATTTTTCTTTCTCATTCATCAAGTTGAAATTACCATGAACACTCGCGAAATGACGGTTAATATTGTAGAAGCGAAGAGCAATAATGTTGTTACAAATGCAGCACAAAGCTTTACCATCACGTTCGATTACTCCAAACTTAGAAATCCACTCATCTCGAAAAATTCTTTCAGTACCTCTGGCTCCAGCATCTAATTTTTTTTGCTTGCATACATTTCCCCACCAGTATTGTCAAAAAATTAGCTAATGGGTAATCAAATCCTGTAAACGGAATTAATTCAACTCCGACCGGTATTGAAAGGAATTTGCGCAACAACTTGACCGTAATTAAAACTGTAAAATTACAACTTTTACGTTTCGACCTAACATCACATTTATGTGTGTTGTAATAGTAACGTTAACGGAGCTGTCTGTCAGTCAAGATCAGTGGTTCCCAAACTTTTTGAAAAAAATTGACGGGCCCCTTGCAATTTTCTCAATAATTCCCGGCTTTGTGCACTAAAACAAAACATTAAAAGATTACAACAAAAAATCGATTCGCCGTATGGGGGAACAAGCAAAACAACATATAGCGCATCTCTAATGACATGTGTTCCGTCCAGTCTGTTTCGATATTTGGTAAACGTGCAAAAAGACAGCGTCAGCAGTTAGTAAACCTGTGGTGGAATGAACTCTCGCTGTGATATTACAGGCCAGCAGCTCTGTGACATCACAATGGGACAGCGTGATTGAAACAGAAAGTAAATAAATATTCAGTGTCTCCATCGGTGGTTGCGAGTAGCCATATTACAGATTTGTTTCGAGGACCCTCCGAAAGTGCTTCGCGGACCCTAGTTTGGAAACCACTGGTCAAGATCAAACTTTGGCATTGTGCGCGAAACAATAGGCGCTATAATTAGATATAGGTTATAGGTTTACCAAAATTTTTCATCAATGAAAAACTTGCTGCATCTTATCGTTTTTATAATCCTGGGTTCATTTTGTGCAGTTTTCAGCATTGCATATGTACACTTGAACCCTAAAACCGTTTATTGTCATATTGATTAAGGCCGGTCCTATCATTTTTATCCCTAAAATATTGGTTTTTACTTTGCAATAATTCGTGACTTGGTGGGTCACCAAAATAAGACGGTGGGTCAATTTGTGACCCGCGGGTCAGTGGTTCGCCATCCCTGCCCTATAAAAACAAATAGGTAAATCCTGAATAGCCCATGAATAAATGTACATCACAAGTCATTATTCACTGACGTTCTTAATAATGCTTAGCATTATAACAGTGGTTACGGTACATGTGACATCATGTCCCGCTTGCTGAAAAATCTTACTTGCCCTACCTAACTTACCATACCTTTGTAATCGTGGACGAAAGGATGAAAGACAAATACCAGAAGTATTTGTACCTTCTCTTGGCGCTATTTCCATCCCCAGCATGCTTTTCAGCATATTCTGTAACGTCATCAAAACTAAAATCAGGAAGATATTTTAAATCGTCGCTAATGATATGCTCAGCCATTACCCGGTATGTTAGTCGTTGGCCATTACACAGACAGATAAAAAAAAACGCGCCAGAGTAACAATCGCGAAGTCGTCGTCTGACGTTCTGCTCACTATCCAGTGGAGGCGCTTCGCTTCAATGACCGTTTCTATTTTCTGGTGAACATTTTTCGTCTGTCAATCTCCATTATGCCCTATCACTCAGCTCCAAGTTGTGCTAGGAGAATAAATGGCATTGTAAGATTGTTGGGAGACATTTTACAGCTTCAAATTGGCGTATCACTATAAAATCTTCGAATAAATGACCAAAAATGGTTCTACGTTATGTTTGTGGTCGAATTTAACGCATTTTTTATTTATAATTGCGTTATATATTTAGGTAGCATATAGCTTAAAGTTCAAAATCCACCCTTCGGCTTCATTATAGCCCTATAACAGCTGACTTATTCGATTCGGTACAACAACACGACGAAAATTTTCCAAAAGACTCCATTGTTTCCCAAATATGGCACAAGATGGCGTCCATGAACTTGTTTAACATTAGGCAAGTTAACGCTTAGCACGACGTTGACCGACGGTCCCATGTTGATGGCCAACAGGAAAGACGTCGAGACATGGCCGCTTCGTACTCAGAGATTTTAAATAGGCGTTCCGGTAATGTTCCACCGCAGAGAGATAAAAGAGTTAGAGAAATTCGAAGACCACATTGTTTACATATCCAATTTTCTAAAGAAGACCATTTTGAAGACGGAATTAGAAATGCTGCTAAAAGTATTGTTTTAAAATGCTTGAACAAAATCCATGTAAATACAATTGCAGTGAGGCCGTACAACTCTGTAGATATTACATGTAACTCAAGAGCCGCAGTATTACAGTTAGCAACCTTTTTAGAAGATGAACCACATACCATACTTAAATTGCATTTGTATGAGCCGGAATTGATTAAAGTTAATATCTCATGGATACCAGGCTATTTAACCACCAATAGGGTGAAGGCAGCATTGCTTGAATATGTAAAATTTGACTCCGACGTTAACAAATCTAAAGATAAAGATGGGATTGGAGAAGGAACAATGAATGTAAAAATATCGCCTAAATCACTGCAAGAACACCCAATACCAAGTTATATTTTCGTGGACGGATACATGCTAGCAGTCAAGTTTTATGGACAGAAAAAAACATGCAAACAATGTGGCGCAATAGATCATTTTGAAATAGATTGTCCGATTAGACTTCAAAATAGAAACTTGAGACAAAGCGTACAAAAACCAAGCAAAATTTCTTCACCGAATTATGCCCCTACACAAGAGGAAAATGAAGTGAATGCATCTTTGCCGAAAACATCAGAAGAAATAGATTCAACCAGAACAAACAACCCTGAATCACTGGATTGATGCAGAAGTAACACAGCTCACTATGCAAGTTGAACAAACTACTACGGATAAAAGTACCCCAATAAAGCCAACTATTTGTGATGATAGGACATCACAACCAGAAAACCGAACCTTGATAATGTGGCATAGACCATAGGTTCTCAAAGTGCTCCGTACGGAGCCCCAGGGCTCCGCGAGAGAAACCCAGGGGCTCCGCGAGCTATTCGATGACTTTTCACAATAATGACTTGGCTAATTTTGTAACTGCTCAAAGAAGCAATAACAGCTTTGATAAAATTTGACAACAATATAGCCTCGAAAAATAGCAAAGATGCGGAATTGAAAAATGACATTATTTATAAGCTGGAGCGCAGCCAGGATTCTTAAGAGGTGGGGATTTGAATCGGAAATTTCCGCGCAACATTCTTTGCGATTATAAAAAAACGGATAACCAGATTTCTGTTGCGTAAAATATTCAATGCATGGCCGTTAAAGTGTCTTGTCGTAATATTTCAATTGTACTCATAGTTACTCACGTTTCATTCGAGATTACTATCAGAATTACTGAAATGAAAGAATACTATTCTAAAATAACATAAAATACGTGATAAACTGCCAACTATAAATAAATTGGAGTCGTATTTTTGCGATATTGGAATTTGTCAAACTTGATTTGTTCTTTTGCACTTGAGATTATAATTAAGCAAGATATCGCCGTTCAAAAACTCACAAGATCTGGGCAAAATACGAACGAATAAAATTTATTTTAGTGCATGCGGCTCCGTCGGTAGAATAAAAAAAGATAAATCGCGCACACAATTGACTGTGTTTCGATTTCGCAGTTACTATACGATGAATAACCGAAGAAAACCTAACATAACACCAAATTTTGTGATTTACAATGCCTATAAAAGCGTTTTCAATCTGACGTGAGTCTGCTAAAACCAAACATATAGTGTGATCTTTTATTTTAAGTTTTAATATTTTAGAATGCCGTTTTTCAATCAAGAAATTTGGGTTGCGGATTTACCTCTCTATTATTAATTATTATTTTTAGCACTTCGTCGCCGATGACTATATGGTAACATGTTTTTCACATAAAACTCATAATTCCCCACGAGAACAAAAAAGCAATTATCGTCGTCATTGTGGAACAATACATGTATATGCCAAAGAAAATTTTTGATTTAGGGAGAATAAACACCGGCGTAAAGATGTTTAAAAACATGCCATGCTGACGAAAACTATCGGTGATTGTGACAAAATGCAATCGCGCACGTTATTAGCGGCCTTCCGAAAATGTCAAAAGAGAAAAGATTCGACCCCTAGTTTAATATGTTTGTCAAGTGTCAAATTTACAGCTTTAGTAAGAGTATATATAATTTATCTTTGAAATTGAGATTTATTTATGACTTGCATTAACCCTATTAAAAAAGGTTCAGCATTTAAATTAAGTAAAGTACGTTTAACTTGCTCAGTAATATTAATCTGAAAGTAACAATTTTAACATTTATTTTGGGGCTCCGTGAATAATAGTCAACCTTTTCAAGGGCTCCGCAACACCAAAAGTTTGAGAACCCCTGGCATAGATAGACAACAGAAGCGACTCTATTCTGATAGTCCTAATGAGCAACCACGGTCTCAACTGAAATATGATGAGGCAACAAATGATAAAAATAAAATGGATATGACTGAAGATAAGCCAAGTAAACTTCTTATGTGTGGAAAATGTGGATCAAATATTGTACTCATAGATAATTCTAATGAAGTGATGTGCGAGTACTGCAGTACAATAAATTTGATTCTAAAGCAATGCTGTCAGAGTGACGGATATTTCACTGTACCTAAAGATCAAGCTAATCTCAATGATCCTATTCCGTGTAATTTATGTCAAAATCCAACTACTTATTCACCATGTTGTTTGAACATTAGTAATTGGGAGAAAAATCTACTTGAATGCAAAATTTGTTCAAAATTATACATTAAATGCCATTGCTCATCATTAAATGAGCCTCCTTTAAAGGGAATGTTCAAAAAGTGTAACAACCTTCAATGCAAGCAAACCATAACTTTTTGTTCTTGTGGTGTAATAAGTGGGTCTGAAAATGGCCCTTCATGCGCGTGTGTGTCAAATACCAAGTGGATCCTAATTGTGACACAAAAAGCTATGGATAATCCGACATTGAACATTGCCTCACTTAACACTAGAGGAATAGCAAGCTTTGAAAAAAGAAAACAAGTTTTTATGTTTCTCGAAAGAAAAAAGTTAGATTTGATTTTTCTACAAGAAACGCATGGAGTAGAAATGCATCAGGATCAGTGGTTAAAAGAATGGGGCGGTACTGGAGCGTTTAGTCACAATTCAAGTAAATCTTGCGGCGTTGCAATTCTATTTAACACAAATGTTGATTATAATATTCATAAAACTCTTAAAGACACAAGCGGAAGATATATTGCAATTGAAGTGACTATTGGAGGATTAAAATTTGGTCTGTTGAATGTCTATGGGCCTAATGAAGATAAACCGGAATTTTTTGAAAACCTGATTTAATTTTAGATGAAATTGAATGTGATAACCTCATAGTTGGAGGTAATTTTAACCTTGTGTTAAATGATAACATGGATAAATTTGGAGGTAGAGCGACACATAGTAATCGAAGATCAAGAGAAACTGTTATGAATATAATCAGTGAATACAATCTATGTGATGCCATTCGTTTGAGCCATCCTACCAAAAAAAATTATACTCACAAAAACCAGTATTCTAATATCAAGTGCACTCGTGGAGAAAGTAATGAATTGTAATATTTTACCTAGCACAAGATCTGATCATTCTCTTTGTTTTTTGAAACTTTAACTTGACCCAACACCAAGAGGTAATGGATATTGGAATTTTAACTGCAATCTACTCCATGATGAGATTTACATTAATTTAATACGTACTACAATATCAAATGCCATTTATGACCATTCGCATCACCCTGTTAATCCACATATTTTTGGGATACCCTCAAATGCATTATTAGAGGTGAAACAATCTCTTACTCATGCAGGAAAAAAAGAGAATCTACCAAATTAATAGAGGAAGTGGAAAAAGATATCAAAGAACTACAAGAGCAGTTACTAAATGATGATTCTGATCAGACCTATGAAAATCTTTTACTTGAACAGACAGAATATGATAAACTTTTTCAAGATTTAACCCGTGGAAGTATTATTCGTAGTAGAACAAACTGGGCAGAAAATGGCGAAAAAAATTCCAAATATTTCTTTGGTTTAGAAAAAAGAAGAAAAACAAAGTCTTCAATCACGCGATTAAAAATTGACAATAATTTAGTAACGGATCAAAAGAGTATACTAGAGGAAATTCGACATTTTTATGAAAATTTGTTTCAATCAAGTACGCCTGATGAAATCAATATCAATAATATTTTAAATAACTTGGATATTCCAAAAATGTCTGAGGAAACATCTGATATATGTGATGGTAGTATTTCATTATCTGAATGTAAAAAAGCACTTTTTTCAATGAAAGACAATAAAAGCCCTGGACCAGATGGATTCTCATGCGAATTTTATAAAACATTTTGGGAGGACATCAAGGTGCCTTTGTTAAATTCATACAGCTACTCTTGGATAACTGGAA